TTCTGGCTTGATTTTGAATTAATTTCCGTTATGTCTTGACTTTTTAAGAAAATAGTAAAATCCAAGATGGCAGATCCAAGATGGTAAGCTAAATGACGTCATTTGACGTCGTATTAAGTCACAACCAACAAATATGGTAATTTTGTAGAGCAAGCCGAAGGCTACATAATCAATTCAAGGTAGATTTCGCTGCGCCTTAACAGAGCGAAAACCCAAGAAGGGGGGAGGGGATTCCATCCAATCCCCTATGCCCTCCTTGTACCACGATGGGGGTATGAATTAGCTTGTACGTTCGAGGGTTAACGCTTTACCCACTGCCTTATGAAGCATATTTTCAACAATGTCTTTGAACCAACTTTCTTCTAAGAACATTACCTGCCAAATATTTACAGTGCAGTATAGAACTCTTAAGTTGCTTCAAAGCTCTTGGTTTCCTTTATGGAGCGACCTCTTTTTGAGACACCGCTTGAGACATGTAACGGCTTCCAATTGGGGGCTTCCCAATTATTTTGCTAGTTTTTGATGTCTTCGATGTAACTAATTGTCGGTTATTCATTGGCCTATTCAGACGTGCAAAGGTAATATAAACACAAGCTAAGCGCACAAAACTTCACATACCACTAACAGAGTGATAAAAGGCCTTGATCCTTGCTTTGTGTACATCTCCATGACAAGAAAGAACAATCGTAATATGATTAGAAGATGAGACTACAAGAGGAGGATACACATAGCCGCAGAATATGCCTGGTGTAGGTGCTGCCAATTCCTGCTCATCGAAAATCTTAACAAAACAGTCTTTGCAACTAGGGTGATCCTTGAGACGGAATTCTTGAAACTCCAGGTGAATGATGTGACCCGAGGGGACAGTGATGCGCCAAGTGCAGAACATGTCGTCAAGATAATACCCAGGAAATGATGGAGAGGAGAAATACCCTGACATGTTGAATAAATTTTTGCTGCAAGCTGAAATAGCAATTATAAAAAGATTTAAACCTTTAATCTTCGATGTACATAAAAATTGTCCATGCATGAACGGTATTAACGTAGTTCCTGGTGTAAATTGACGCAATACTTTATCTCAAGGTAAACAAGACTTTCATTAGGTTTATCAAAGATCATCAAAGAGTTTGGGTGTTTTCCATTAAGCCACAAAACAAAACAAAACAACAACAAAAAAAGAAAAAAAAAGAACAACAACAACAACAACAACAACAATCCGGAAATTTTGAACGGACTCTTATGGTAGTGAAATTTGTTAGAAAAGTTTCCAGAAATTTCGAAAATTGTCGAATTTTCGAAATACGAACCATTCAAACGAAAATTCCTAAAATTCTGGGAGAAAACGAAATGAAAAGAAAATTCTCGGTAAGAAATGTCCAAAATTATGCGTTTACCTCGAGAGGCCGTCTTTTGTTCCGGAAAATTTCGAAAATGCTGTTCCACTCTCTACTATAAATTTTCAAGAACTCGAACTGGAATGTTTGGTCGACTGGATAGCAGACATAAATTCAGGACGTCGTCCTTGGAAAATGTAACGAAAAAATAAGGGGCGCTTTCCTAAGCGGACAGACACATGAATTTATAGTTTATGCGATGCGTCAACGAGCGAGAACGGATAATTTGACAATTTGTTGCGGTAAAAAACAAATTGACGTCAGTTTTTCATGCGTCTGTCCTGTTATTGACCACGAAATTCGTCATAACATTGTCAAAATAGTGTGCGGATCAACCCGGCTATCGCCGAGCTACTTTGACAATGTTATGATGAAATTCATGATCAGTAACAGAACAGACGCAGGAAAAACTGACCTCAATTTGTTAACGTGAAATGCAGCGCATGCCCAAGCCTTGCCACGAGAATCAAATACCTTATCTCTCCCTTATTGTACCAAATGTTGTTCAACGATCATAGAATGTAATTTGGGTAAGTAGAAGGATTGATGCCCAAATCTCGCTGAAGATATCGACCGATTTTCTTAGAAAGTGTTCAATTTAGAGTTGAACATAAAATTGATTAATTGGGCCTAGGGATTTATTGTAGATTCACGCACGAGTTATCCACTTGCACCCGATTGGTTCATAAACTATGGAATTGCGTTATGCACAAGAGACAGAGCACACAGAAGAACCTTAATAAGAAACCGCCAAACTTTCAGCGACAAATTTCCAAAAAGTCATCAGCTCGCTTTTAATGGTTTCGTAAACAATGTAATCAATTGGGCTAATTTCAAGAATTGGAATCCTATTCAATTAGCGCTCCTAAGAATGTTTCAGGAAAAACATGACTGGCTTATGCTTGTTACCTGGCTTGGCCCCCATTGGCTCGTGCTTGCAGTATTTCTCGTCAATGTACAATCCTGTCAATGCTATTGAGTCATTACTCTTCCCTACTTCACCTTTTATCGACACCTATTGTACAAATAAAACGTATCAGTTCTCTGTAGCAGTACTTGACTTACTCAGATGGTGCTTTTGTAGCAAACGTATCAGCAATGTATGTTTAACGTAAAGTAAGTTTATTTCACGACGACTTGAGATCTTAACGACTTATTGCCAGTGGTTTCTGGGACAAAAATAATAACTTGAAATCTTGACGACTTGTGGTCAGTGGTTTCTGGGACAAAAATAACAGAAATATTTTACAGTAAGAACGAAGATAGCAGTTTACAACATACGAGAAGAAGACGATAAAAAACCCGACATTTACCTTAGGATTAGCATACAAGGCGAAAAACGGGTAAACAGCACAAACGAACATTACTTATACGATGAAAAGTAAACGAATTCTCCAGACATTTACACATAAAACAAGAAAGTTAAAATGTTAAAATATGACCGCGGCAGACTGGGCAGGAAGCTCACCGCTGATAAGGGATTTGTTTCAACAATCTTTGCGTCAGTCAATTTCAGTAGTGCCCATACCCCCCCCCCCCCGGGTAATAGCCGAGCAATCGCTCACGTCTTTAATCTCGATGTCGGGCAGTTTAATTTCTATTATTTATCAGGGGTCGGGGATCTGTCTATCTCTGGGGCACTCCCATTTGACATCCTTATAGTTTTGGTCTTTCATGTGGTGGAGAGCGCAGACATTATATTGTTCTCGTATTTATTCAGTTATTCATTTATTCAATTAACTCCATATGATAAATGAATTCTAAAGCTACCTTTCGTAAAAATCTTTAATTTAGATTTTTTTTGTCACTGATACATCATACTTCCTTGACTCAGTTTTCCATGACACGTACATTGTATGTTAACATTGCACACTGGACGAACTGAGCATGCCAAAACAGAAGGACTTTTATAGACTAATTAAAAAGATCGAAATAATAAACCAAAAGTAGCTAACGCACAGCGTTGTCAAGGACATTTTACACAATGGTGTGACCATTGGTAGGATAAATTCACTTGTAAACAAAATCAGTAACATATAAAATAATAATGTTGTAGAATAGCACCTATTCATTTTAATTCCTGAAATTTTGAGCAGTGTTATTTTCTAGCTAAGCCCAGAGTCAAGGCATTTGCTTTGTTCCTTTTTTTCTGTCCTCCGCCGGGGGCGTTTGACCTACTTATTTAGCCCTATTGTGGGAATTTACCATTTTTTGAGAAAATCGCCGGTGACGGAAGGTTGGCCCGGGAATGGGGGGATAGACGCTGCTGAAATTGACCGATGGAGAGATGGTTGGTCTTAGTATCATCGTTACCTGAAACTTCGAAATAGAACTCAATGGAACTTGACCGTAAATCCAGTTCACATCAGTTTCCCGTTCAGAAACCCAAACTGGCGTTTCTCGATGGTTGTCTACTTTCTGGTAAATTGTAAGTGTCTTTTCTCCAGGTCCTCTCAACATGTAGCGAAACTTTAAGCATTTGCTGTGCCCGTCACGTGATCTGTTGTATAGTGGGCTCACAAGCACAGCAGTCTGATTAAAACGAGTTGCGTTGGTATCTACCTCAAGTCGGTCACCTAAACAAATCAATCAGTCTGTGTTTGTTAATTGAAAACCGAATGAATGCGGGTGCAATCTTGGATTTACACTGCAGTTGATAAAAATGTCATTGAAAATTCTCTTAAATGTGCGATTTCAATTTGAAAGAAGTTTTCAAATATCGCAGTAAGTGTAAATCCTTAATCATCCGCACCGTAGGGAAAAAGATGGCGACTGGTACATTTACCCATAGTTCTTAGCGCATGAAAACCTTAACAACGTTCATAAAAAGGTACAGAAGAGTTACCAAATCTTCAAACCTAGCAAAAAAAAACTGTCTTTCTTTTTGCCTTATGGGCTGCGTTAGGTCAGCAAGGCATTGTGGTAAAATGCACAGCCGTCATCTTTTTTCCCACGGTGGATTGCTCGAGCTTTCATACAATTCCTCATTTATTACATGACGGCTGCGAAAATCACGAACGCGCGCATTAGTTCAGTGCTAATTAAAGGTTTATTAATTGGCGTGCACTCACCCAATTACAATGAAGTAATTTTCTCATTCATATAATAAATATGCAAACAGATGGACCCAATGAGTGTTTCATAGTTTAAATATTATATGAATTAAATAAGTGCTTTATGTAACTTAAATAAAATGTAAATACATCTTACAAAAGGGAAAATAAGCGATGATGCACGAGAGGAAAAACGGATTTTACTACGCTTAACATTCCTTACAAATATATTTAACCTTATAAAGAAAATACGTAGTGATATCTGACAAAAGATTATGGTTTTGATATTTAATAAATTAAGTTCTGTTTTGGTTTCTCCCAAGTTTAGAATCTCAGACAGGTCTCACAAGGAGAAGATTTCACAATATTGGTAATCTCATTAATTTACGTCTTTCATTTTATAAAGTTACCGCTTAGTGTACTCTTAAGGAAGACACGTCATGGAATCATACTACTGCTGCATCTTTCAAAGCATTAACAATTGCTTTACTCAAAAGATTATTTGATGATTCCGAAATCGCTAAAATAGTCGACTGACGCTCGCCTCAAGTGCTATTGAACAAACCTGCTCTACAGTCAACTCCCGATAACTCAAAACCTCAATAACTCGAGCCTCGCGCTAATTCGAATCAATTTTCGTTTCCCTTCAGGCCATTTTCCATATAATTTTACGCTTTATAACTCGAACCATGGTTGCAAATACGAAATAACTCAAAACAAGCAATAGTGTAGTCCAAAACATTGAGAAACTTTTTACGCGAAAAAGTAAAAGGCATGAACTATGTAGCAGTTGCCCGACGTGGTTCCCTTTGAAATGCAAAGATCGCGGTTCCTCGACTTCTCCTGCTGCTTTGCTTTCTTTTGTTTCCAATTACGTTTATAGTGGAGCTCCTGCGCGCCGAAAATACACTAGCGGAGCCCCATACCTGAGTAAATTTGGCAACCAATCGATCCAAAAAATTTGGCAGTTATTTAGAGTAGTTGAAGTTCCCTCGAGTTATTCAGAGTCGCCTGTATTTAACTTTGTAGATGACTCGCCTTTTCTATCGTGACAAGTTCGAAACTCTTTCACCGCAACTCTTTTCTTCATTCCTTGTCTAACTGTATGCCACGCCTTTGCGTCTCCTGTCTCATCCCCACATCCGTATGACATGCGCAGTATCTCCTCTGCGATCACTGCATACGACCACACATTGAAACCACTCAATGCTCCGACGGACTCAGTTTTGTTTGTTGCTCTGAAGCCTATTGTCATAGTTCCTATGCCTTAGGAGAGAAATTCTAATTAGAGTCCTTAAGCCAGATAAGACAAACATATATTTTTTGTCCTTTTAATCGCTGTATAACCTCTGTACTGGTTTACTGTTAGCCTTAAAATAACTGAGATACTACGCGCGCTCTGATTGGTCAATAGAGTTGCAAGACCTACGTTCTATTGTACGGTAAACCAAGGGTCCCGATATAGCAGCTCTACGCGGGAAGTAGAGAACTCAGAACACTAGCGATAACAAATATAATAGACAGCTTCCGCTTTTACTGGCTGAGATATTAATAACACGAAATTTTTTTTATTCAACATATACTTGGAAATTTGCAAGGAAAAACGGGACCAGAAGTTAGTCGGGATATAAAGCTTACCTTTTTTCCACACCATAACTTTAAAACGATTCCGGTTACGCTCGTGTTTAAAAATAAGGAATTTTTAAACCTTTTTTCGGTGCTTCCCACGGTCTTTGGAGGACGAAGTCAGGTGGGCTGGATGATCAATTTGGCCGGTTGTTAAAAAAGTAGAGAAAATATTTCTTTCGAGTTAACATTAAGCTTATCAGAAGTTTGAGTTTAAACTCTGCATGTAACACGATAAACGAATTTGGTTTCCATTTAGTAAAATACAGAGAAATTTCGGAAGGAGCGTTTTTGTAACTAAACTTTATTCTATTCGCAAAACTTTGGAAAGTGGTCGATGAATCACTTCGCCAAGCCAACGACGAACTACAAGTTTTTCTTGTATTCTTGTAGCATCCCGCGTAGTTTATTGTGCCTGTAAACCCATAGAAAGAGTGCTTTATTGCTTAAATTAGCGATTTACCTCTATAGGGTCTGACACCACCACCAACAAAAAACAACTATAATATCTAGTTACCTTCAATGACTACATTGAGTGAACCTGCTCGAAACCTAGTTGGATGATGTTTTCTTTCGCCATCTTTGAAGACTTCCAAGAGCCCGCTCTCACCATCCCATACCACGCACACGTGGTGCCACATGTCATCGGTCACGCTCAATGGGATGTTGCTGTATATATAAAAAAAGAATTATAGGCACGTTTGTCGGCGTGAGTGATCTAATGATCGAAGAAGGTCTCTTTAATTGTTCTGATATTGCAAGATATTATTATCGTTGCTTCGTCTTGTGCTCATTGCCAAGATACATTAATGGCCATTTCCGGAATGGAAAACGCTTTTGCAATCATTTTATAGTTATAGAATAAATTTTCATTATATTACTTAAGGAAAATTATATGGTACCTTCTTATGCTGCCAAACTGAATATCAAAACTGTGGTTATGAAAGTAAAGCTTCAGCACCAAGGTCGCATTTTGTTCCCTAGATGCGGCGACTTCGTATTCGATGAAAAAGCCACTGTGTGTTGTCTTCAACCAGAAGCAGATGGTAAAACCACGACCACTTGCTGACAAATCAGAGAATGACACGTAGCCAACACTGAAGTCGTGAAGGTGAATCTCGTAGTTACCTGCGTCAAAGAACAGCAAAAAAAAAAAAAAAAAAAAAATACATGTAAGTGATTATATTCTTTCGACGTTTGAGAGTGGCTAACAACTTTCAAATCTTACAATACAGTGTTTTGAAATAACGTCAACGGCCGGCTAAATTGATGTACCAAACCAATCCTTTAGGAGTTTAACTTTTTTCTTATGTAAACACCTTTTGTTTCAAGAAACTTGGATGGCTGCTGGCCACGTGATTGAAAACGTTATATTAGAGGGGAAGAGACATTCAGTATTTGTTCAAAAGGTGCTCCACAAATTCAATCTTATCATTGACTGCTTTCACGCTTTCTGTAATTATTTCGTTGTTTCAAACTCTCGCAGTTTTGTAAAAGCAAATTGTGGGTACTATACACTTAGCAGATTTATCTAATTGAGCGAGAGCCAATTGAGATCTGCGGGTGCGTAGAACATTTTAAAGTACCTACCTCTGGCAATCTCAATATCCTTAACGCCGCTGTCATATTGATGGTCCTGGTCAAGCTCTTGGTATTTGACTCTTTTCCACCCACGGACGTTTTTCCATCCACACCAGTCAACGGACGTATCACACGGTTGATCATCTAAATTGATTAACAACATATTTATTCCGTTTTAATTGAAAAATGAACTAAATTCAGTATCGATTGAGTTAAATTTATGATAGATTAGGGTGTTGGTGAACGATAGCGTAGAGGTTGGTGTACTTGAATCCTGATGAGTGGTTTGGGTTCGAGCCATGACCGGGGTCAATTTGTAATGCGAGCAAGAAAGATTTTGACAGTATCTCTCTACACTAAGGTGTATAATGGAGTTGGGCGGGAGGGGGGGGGAGGGGGCGCTAGGATTGACAGCCATCTTATCCAGGGGGAGGTGGAAAAACATGCTCAGAAATCAGGGATGAGGAGCTGCACTTAGCATATGAAGGGAATGAACAGGATAAATAGGTTACAAGTTATCATATCAACGAATTTAAGTATAGCTCTATTATAAGATCACTTGGTAACCACTCACTACACGTCTTAATTCTGACATCTTTGCAGTGAACCCTCCTTCAATAAAGGAGAAAGACAAGCAATCTGCTGTCAATTGCTAAGACTAAAACGGCTTACTATGGCGACAAATCTTTCCAGGTTGTTGCACCAAAACCCTGGAACGACTCACGAAATGTCATTAAGCAGTTTTCCTCCGTGGATTGTTTTAAATCAAGACTAATTAAAACTTTTTAGCGTTTTTTAGAACAGGGTTTTCATGAACAAGACTGTAAAAGACATTGAGACCTCGATGTAATGTATAAGTCAGTTTAAATATTATATCCAGAATACTGTTAAACTCTACAATGACGTCTAGCTGTCTGCCTTCGGTATTTAGTTTAAGCAACCGGTAAATAGTTACCATAACAGAACACACATATCTATAAAATAGTAAATATCTCATTTCAATCTTTAATAGCCTGTGAAAGGTTAAAAATAACGGAGGAAAGCCTACAGTACCTTGACAGCCATACAGCTCCACTCTCATTGATATGTGGCCAAACCAAGCTTGCGGTAGAAAGCGGATGTAACGTGCCTTGATTGGCGGGCTTAATTCATGATATACCACAGTGTCCTGGTCGATGTTTCCAGTAAAATTCTAAATGGCAAAGATCGTAGCATGTATAAAGGACTTATCGTGGTCAGAATTGATCCCTACAACTTGGATTCTTTCATTAACCAAGTAATCTTCATCTTGTCTAACAACTAGAGAACATCAACATGCGTGGATAGGTGTCAAGACTAATTACTTTTTCAAAGAATTCTCCAGAAAATAAGCCATTTAATCTCCTTGCCGCTTGAAGGTGAATCCTCTATATTTTAAAACTGGCAAGAATTTGACCCAAGAAATGTAAGAAATGTAAGAAATGTAAAATAGTTTTTTTAGGTCGACATGTATTTCACCTTATATGCAGTTTTTCCTTGATCCCTGTAGTATTGGAAGTTCACTCCATCGTTACTATACTGCAGTTTGTACTTGGTTACCCACTGGGGGTAATTGTTTCTTCCTTGCGTTGCTACACGTGTCACTTCGGTGTGCCGACTTCCCAGATCAATCTGGAACCATTGGTTAACATCGTTGCTGCGAGCAGACCAAGATCCCGCTTTGCCTGAAGTTGCTTTAAAATGAAGTCTCCCATGGATAACGGCATGACTGGAATCCAGTTGCGAAGAAGCACTTATTTGACCATCGGAGATTGAGCCATCTTCCATGCCAAGAGCGCCCAGACAAGCTAAAGATTTTATGTCGTCATTTATTTAAGAAATAAAAAACATTTTCCTTGTTTCTATCGAGCTGGGATGACGAGAATGCTGCGGGAACACGAGCCGATCGATGAGTGTTTCTACAGCTTTTTCGAGTTCTCCCAAACTTTCACGACTATGAGCTCGAGATTTCTATCACGCATAGCAGTCGAGAGCGAATAATCTAATTGTTTTAGTACAAATCTAGCAGTCGTTCAAAACTTTAATCTAAATCCTCTTCAAAGACACTTCGAAAACAGAAAGAAGCGACCCCCAGCGCACGCTGCTACGCTAGTCACTATCTACAGCTAGATAGATAGTGATAGATAGTGATTAGCGTAGCCAATCAGAGAACGGCATTCATGATAGAACGCTGGTAGATTTATACTTGAAGTCGATACAAACACGAGGAAAATGTTTTTTTTTTATTTTCATCTGCTTTTTTTGGTTAGAAAACAGACCAAAGAAAATAACGAACAGCATGACAAGAGAACTTTATTTAATCATTCAACGCGCGTATTTCTTTTGAGTTATTTTTTAAAACAAATAAGTAAATGAATAAAATGATGTATAGTTCCTAAACCGCTAGTTACAAAAGTATACGAGTTTTGAAACAATCCAAAATGTCAGTGTTTTGAATGTACCAGTAACTAAAATTTTTAAAGGTGTCCATTTTAAGCTTCTTTTATTCATCTATTATTATTATTATTATTA